AGTTTTGGGTGAGGTCCACCTTAGAAGATTCAACTCTTACTGGCCCAAAAAGAATGCTTGGCAAGATGAGAAGCGGGTATACCAAAGTTATTGTGTTGGCTGTAAGGATTATTTGGCTGAATAGGATAAGATAAGACTGCTAATAATGATACATCCAATACCCATTTCTTGAAAACTGATCTGCTGTAAAGTTGGATACGGACATATACTATCTCAAACTAGTTTTGATGACTTTGCATAAGGTAAGAATTGGGATTAGAAAGGCGAAACTGCAAGAAGGAATTGAAACCCTAAATTGGAGAAGGAGAGATGGGTGGTGCGATCACCATTTGAGAGAGAGAGAGATGGCGATGTTGGTCCCCCGAGAGGTCGACCCCGTTGTGGTGATCACTGGATAAAGGAATCACTGTGGCAAACACCTTGGTAGGTTCGTCGTTCAAGGCAGCTATCGCTGCTCTCTCTTCCCTTCCCTTTTCTTTGATCTCAATCGTGTTTTTCATTTTTTCTTTTTTCTATAAAAAAATCCCGAGATTAGTGAATCCTATCCAAGCTTATTCCTTCCTTTAAGGATCCGTTTGGTTCAGCATTCCAAACGGGTTTTGGGCTCCAAAATCCCTTGGTCAAATGTAAATGGCGTTTGGTTCGTTTTTTGCTCAACTTTGAGGAAATATAATTGCATTTCCAAAGGCCTCTAAAAGCATTTAGTCCAAGGTAATCCAAAGTTACTTTAAAAAGTAGCACTCTCATAATGAAATAGACTCTTTTTTCTTCCAACTTTGCCCTCGTTCAACTTTTATAATTACGTAAATGTCATCGAAAACCCTAACTTGCTGGCAAAGGTCTCAGCCACCGGCATGCCACTAACGCCCTCACCTTAGGTCACACGATCTCAGGTAGCCTCACCTTAGGTTGGACAACCATAGGCTAGGCTTGCCAGTGGCTAGATCTTGTCACCAGCGATTGAATCCCGTCGGCAAATAATTTGAGATTTATTTAAAAAAAAAATAGAAAATGTCCTTTTTTTAAGCAAAAGTCTTTTGTAAAGTGTAGTTTCTACCAAACGACATTTAGGTAAAAGTTGTTTCTCAATGTGTTTCTAAAATACACTTTACCAAATACTACTTGTATTTCGGAAAACCCCTTTAGCCCAAGGCTTTTGCATATCTCCAAAGACATTTCGCCAAAGTCGAATCAAAGGAGCCAAAGTGGGATAAACTTATTGAGAATACGTCGGGACAACATCCCATAGTATACTAGCCTAGACAGTGCCAAATGCATAATAGAACAAGAGCAATCATATTCAGAATTCCCAACGAAGTTGTATGACTATTCTAAAAGTAAATGAATCCACAATAAGTGTCTTTTTCAATTCCTGAAATATGTATAAAGTTAAGAATAAAGATCGGAAGAGAGCAACTTGGAATTTATGTATATTTCGAGATACATTGAAGAAGAATACATGAGCCTTTATATATGATTTAGATGACTATTAAAAATAACATATTAATCAAGATATATCCGCAATCTCGAGAGATATGGAGATCAACAGAGTTATCATAATATCTCCAACATAGGAAATTATTCTAAACAAATCCCTAGTTATCTCTAACAACCCCTCAAACTCAAGGTAATAAGTCAGCTTGAGTTTGAAATCAAGTGAAACAGTGCCACTGAAACTTGTTTCTCCATGAAATTAGCACTCAACAGATTGGAGGCGGGGCGGTGAGTGGTGGTGCATGTGATGGCTCCAAGCTTCCGTTTACGACGAGATTTCAGTATGTTGCTCATCTGACGGCGGCGAGTTGGGTGGTGGTGTCAGTTTCTCAACGTTTCTAAGATTATGTTTATACCCGAAGTTCTAGAAAAGTTTACATGTACATCCATTAAACCTTGCCCCCTAAAAATTTCAAATAATGTGGCATCTCAAAGCTTAAGGAAGTATTAAGAACTTTCAATAAAAGAACTTCCAATTAAAGAGCTATATCATGCAATCTACGGTTGTGCAACCAGACTTTTCTCTTGGCATCTTTTTTCTAGAAAAAAAGTTCGGTTCCTCGATGGTTCTTCACTTAGAACCGGGAATCGGACTGAATTTGGAATCAATTTTATAAAGCCTAAAAACCCTAACTTTTCTCTTGGCATCTTTTCTCTCTCTCTCTCTCTCTCTCTCTCTCTCTCTCTCTCTCTCTCTCTCTCTCTCTCTCTCTCTCTCTCTCTCTCTCTCTCTCTCTCTCTCTCTCTCTCTCTCTCTCTCTCTCTCTCTCTCTCTCTCTCTCTCTCTCTCTCTCTCTCTCTCTCTCTCTCTCTTTTGTTCTCTCCAACCTCACTTAGACACTTCACCACACACACACACACACACACACACACACACACACACTCTCTCTCTCTCTCTCTCTCTCTCTCTCTCTCTCTCTCTCTCTCTCTCTCTCTCTCTCTCTCTCTCTCTCTCTCTCTCTCTCTCTCTCTCACGACTCGCCATTCCTAGTTCGAGCCTCACAACCCTCGCTCATTCTCGACTTGCCCTCACTCGCTCGCAGCTCACCCTCACTCGTTTGAGCCTCGCAACCCTTGCTCATTCCCGACTCACCCTCGCTCGCTTGCCCTCGTTCCTCTTTTACTTTGAACAAATTTGTTACTCATATTATTTTGCTATTTAAAATGAAACCAAAAAAAAGGAACAAAAGAAAAACTAGTTCCTAGGTAGACCCTGGAATCGGACCAGAAAATAGGATCAGTTCTAAGGTAAACATGGAAAGTTTCAGGTTTCAAAAATTGGGAACTGATTCTACCAGGGTAGGTTCCAGGTGTCAGGTCTGGAACTGATCACCCTAACCACGGCACTCAATAATTGTGAAATATGAGGAATAGTGAGTGATATTTTCCAACTTGAGAAATAATTACTTCGACATATCGCACTTTACTGGGGAATCGAAAGTTATTTTGGGAAAACTAATAATCATTAAAGAAGTTTCGCCTTGATTCATTCGGAGAGATTCTTAAGAAACAAACTATACTATGTTCTAGAAAAAAGGTCGAGAGCAATCGATTTAGGAGGAAAAGCGTCGAGCTATTATCCTAACTTTTATTCGATCCCATATAAATTTACGAAAGTTAAATATTGTTGACTATCTATGCTATGAAATACATTTGCCTATAATGATCAAAAAGACAAATATCATTACGTGTAGGACTTTCCTAGAAGGGATAATAACACAATGGTCTATGAACTTTGGCCAAATGTGCAATGCAATCCCTGAGCTTATAATTTATTCAATGTGGTCCCTGGACTTTTGGTACATGTTCAACTTGACTATATGAAAATATTCAATGTTGTCCTTCTAGTAATTCAAGTTCATGGACAATATCAAATATTTTCACATAACTCAAGGACTAAATTGAACAAAAAGTCCAGGAACTACATTGAACAAATTGAAAGTTGAGGGACCGCATTGCACATTGGGCTACAGTTTGTGGACCACATTGAACAAATTAAAAGTTGATGGACCATTTGTATCATTTTCCCTTCCTAGAATTGAAATTTCCATTGCCTTTAGCCACGTTTTCCAGAGGAAGCATATATGTTCTTGCACAACACATGCTTTTACCATCAGCATTATCATTGCTCTGCTGAAGTCAAGGGGCCACAAGAAAAGTTCAGTGCCGGCTGCACCTTCGCCTTGGAATTCTACGTTTGCGTGGGGGACATGCTGTTTCCACTTCTTCGGGTGCTTTTTGACTAATCGGATTAGCAGATGTCGTGCGTTAGCTAAACAACTACTCAAGTCTCTGCAAATCTGGTTCATACGCGAGATTGTCCTGGACGCTGAGTCACGTACGAATTTCACCTCGAAAATGAGACGATCGTGCATTTGAAGATATTGCAGATAGGCATCCCAAGGAGCTTGTCTATACCGAACCTAAATTTGCGCGGACTGACTTCACAAGCAAAAGAAAGGGAGCATAAACGTGCATTGCAAAGGTGATCTCTGCGATTTCACCGGACTGATCCGCGTAACACGGCATATAATTCACGGCACAAAAGCCGAAAGAGGCTTTTAGCAATGAAAAACATCGTTTCATGTTGGCATATTTATTCGGTTCTTCTTCTGAATCGGGGTCCTCAAGCCTTGTTACTAAGTTAATGAGGGAATAATTGCATTAGCGTAAGTAATCGACAAATGGGATTGAGAGAAGTAAACATGCTTTGGCTCATTCTCACGAAGAAGATGGAGTTCAGAGAAGTAGTCCATGGTGCGTGTCGAGACTTTAATAATGGCGATCGGTTCCAAGTTAGGGTTCCTCCGAACCAACCTAACATTAACCACTTCCTTTCTTTCTTGATGGGTAAGTTTAACAACTGCGTTTCGCTTGAGAATTGCACAAATTCTCACCGAAGATGTTAATGGGTGAGGCTTTGGCCCAAAAGATATTGTTAGTGGCAGGCCATTTCGTAGCAAAGCCCACCAGAGAAGCTGGTGAAGTAAAGATTCTTTTGCTTGCCGACCGACCTATATCGACACCGATACTCCGACAATGGCCAAACGAGCGAGTCATGAGGCAATGTCTTCAAGTAGGTTTATCTCGCTCTTTCGAACTAGGCGTCTAGATATAAAGGGTAAGTTTCATCATGCGGAGGTCTACATCACGTTCAGCACTTTGAAGAAGATGAGCACTGACATTAACTGGACATATGACCTAATTCCGCTCTGTGCTAGACCACTATCAGTCGGTACGGATAGTCTCGATCCCACCTTGTCTGGTCTCAAGGTGAATGTCATTTTCATCGCATAAAAGCAACGCATGGATGGTTAGTTTTTAATTGAACAATTATTGAACGCAATCTGTCCACCCAGCATCTCTTAATCAGTGTTCTAAGTACCAACCAACTAGGCATCTGATTGCGCCGATGAAGCAAAATTCGAGCAGTATTAAGCCTCTCCATCGAAGGAGCCGATGATGAGGCTGAGGTTGACGGGAAGAAGAAGATGAGAACCACTCAATTTGGCAAATCTCTAAGTCCCACTCGACGATGGAGGATTACAACCACTAGTCCAGGAGCATAAAAAGGGTCAATAAACAAAGTGCCTCTTTTTCGATCTTTACAACGTTTTGGCAAATACTATAACATTCCCCCATGGGTGGAGCACTTGGAATGAAGTGGACTACAGATACTCAGCACATATTCTCTCGCCACTAAAATACACTAGGCCACTAGAGTTCGCCATCATGCTCATCAACCAGAAACAAAAAACAGACAGCTGACGTGGTTAGGAAGGACAGGATCATACAGGCCCATACCTTAGCAGTAATGGCTACAAGGCACTGCACGCTCCGCAACAACAAACATCTGCACGAGCATCTTAGATGCACTCGGCCCTTCATGATACTCGTCTGCAAAAGGGCTCATCCAATCAACGCCTTGGAAAATAATCACAAAAGGATCCAAGTCTACGATGTATAGGAAATGATCCAAATCTGCTCTTGTACGGGTAGAAGTCAATGTCAGCCTTTTGTGTCGATTCACTCGACTCCCAAGTTTAGAGAACCGTCTTTCATCAACTTCAAGCTTAGGCTGTTGAATCTCCCTCTCGAATAGTGACGAGAAGCTTTTCTCCAGTCTGTTCCCGTTCTCATCATTGCAGCGAATTCTTCATAGCTAATTCTCCCGTCCTGCAGTGACAGAAGATCATATTAGAGCAAGTGTTCAAGATTAGAAGCTGTCCATATGCAGTTGAATAGTTCCCGAGTCTCTTGACCTTGTCCTTGTCCACTTCCTGGAAGATTTCATTAGCTATGTCACTACAATCATCTGCCCCATCTTCCATTAGGGATTCTCGTAGCTCATCAGGTTCAATGAAAGAATTGCCATCCTTGTCAAAGTAGGAGAAGGCTTTCCGCAGATGTTCATCATTTGCCATCCTCTGAAGATGGAGTGAAACAGCAAGAAACTCTCCATAGTCCAGAGACCCTTTGCCATTAGCATCCACCTGTTTCCAACAAGCTTGCTCGTTCAACGCGTAATAAGACATATAATGTATTCAGGGATGATGATTGAGAGAAGTATGTCACTCCTTTCAAGGAAAATGACATTGCATGACCGGACATTTAAGCAGGAGTTGAAAACTAATCAATATATCAAATGAGTACAATTCAAGTAAACAAGCAGGTTAAGAAATGATCATGGTTTTATTACAACTGAAGTTTAACTTGCCTTATGGTCGAAAAGGATAAAAAAGAAAAAGCTTAACTTGCCAGCATGAATTCCCTTAAGTTAATGTTCTCCATGGCATAATTCCGTATCAAAAGGTCAAAACACAACAAATGTCTTTTTAGCCAAGCCATGTAGGATGTCCAAGTGCAAAATCGGAATAGTAGCTTTTCACAAGTCAAAGTATCTTGGAAATCATAAAATCCAAAGACGAGAAGAACTAAGAGCAGCAGCGTTTCAGCACTAAACCTTCTTATGTAGAACAGAATAGAAAAGACTAAGGATCAGTGGGGACGATTAGAAAGTCTAAAGGCCTGCCTTTTAGTTGCAGGTGAATCTCTATCAGCTTAAACAAGGGATTTTGATGGTTGCTGTTCAACCATTGGTTGTGATTTTTACATAGAGAAACCACTTATTATTACACTTAGCTGCTTTTGGAAGACAGATGCACTCAAACTGTCACCTAAGGTTAATGACCTGAAAGCTAATGCCTGAAGAAAATCGTACATTTATGGAAAATCAGGCCTCCACAAAAGCAGTGAATTCGCTAAGCTTCCAAAAATCTGCTGGTAGGGCTGTACTGAATGAATTCCCAATATCCCTTGAACTTCTGTTTTACAATTTTATTTCGGTAAATAGCTTTTGGTGATATCGGCACTGAGACTAGAAAGTTTTTCATGAAAGTGGAAGTGGTTCATACCTATTGGTGAAACTTGACAAGAAGGGAAAGTTTGTCCCACACTTCTTGCTCACTGTCTCATGTCCACAATGGATCCAGAGACGAGAACCTCAAATTATATCTTTATTGGTGATAGACTAAGAGCGCTTTACCTATAACGCGTTAAATCTGTTATGCTTTTACCATCCGCCGTGTATGTTGAATATCCTATAATTCTCACCCCCAGCAGTTCATAATGGCCGACCTAATAATAAGAATAGTATGCATATTTAAAAGGTAGACCAAGATAGTCTTAAATGATGAGAACTATCATACCCCAGAAGAAGCCGGACTAAGTTCCTAGTAAATAAGCAACGCATTCAAAACCAGACGGATGTGTGAGCCTAACAATTTGTGTTTCAACTGGTTCAACCCCGGTATGACTGGAAAATGACATCTGGAGATTAGTTTACTGGTATATGTATTTTTAACCTTCGAAAGAAAATATTGCCTCATAAAGTTTCTGAAATTGTACTAGTTCAAGTCCCTCAGTACTCTCAGATTTCACTTTTTGCACAAGGAACGACTCACTCTTATGCTACACAATTAAATGTCTAAATATTTTGACAGAATTAAAGGATGTCAGCAAAAGTGGCCCAGCTTCGACCCTGCCATGTTCTCCACTATCTTTTTAGAAATGTCAAATCCAATCAAACTTGGTCGCTACTTTGCTGGATTGAACACTTTCTGAACCAAATAGAAGAAATAAGAAAACAAACTGGCCAATTCAACTGGTTGAACCGACTGGTCCAGTATGGATTCGGAAACATTGGTTCCTAGGTCACCATGCCTCCATAAACAAGAGAAACTAGCTTGTAGCATCATTAAAGATGATGAAATAAAACAAATACTTAAAATGTTGTCCAATCAGGTAGTTTTACAACCAAAGTAGAGATCAAGTACACTCACAGCTTCGATGAGCATCTGAACTTCAGATTCAGCAAGATGAGAACCAAAATTTCTCAGCCCAGCTTTTAATTCCTCAATTGAAACAATACCATCATCATCAGTGTCCATCTTCTTGAACAATTCTTTTATGTCTTCAACTTCTTCAGCAGATAGGAAATCAGCAATCACCTATAACAAGCCCATCCATCTTACTCGCAAAAAAACACTAGAATGAAGGAAAAATATATCAAATAGGAACATCCAACTAACCCTCAGAGCCTTTCTTTTGAATCTGTTCATCATGGAAAACTGTTTTAACCTTGATTTGACAACATCTCCTAGTGGGACATTAGGAGCCTTCTTAGCATTTTGGAGCCAAGGGTGCTCTGCCAGCAAGACAGCGTGTAAATAACAACTATCAAACTCTGAGGTAGTAAGTTACCACACCATAGTTACACTATACAGTATGTCAAGTGTTACCCAAGACATTGACTTTATACTATTTCTTTCCTGCACAGCTCAGCTTTTAACAGTGAGATATGGCAATTCAGCAGTACCATCGTCTTTAGTCTGAATAAAATCAATACCACATGAACTTTCGTCACAACAACATTGCATTAGGAAGACATCTTCTAAACCCCAGATGGTGCGATGAAATATTGCACAATGAAGGAAAATTGGCAACTTTGACCAAAATAAAAGGAAAAATGTTTCGAAGCATGGTGCTGGATTTGAAGTTGAACTTTGAATTAACAAGGTCAACCCTAACCAAAATCTACAAACTACATAGATAACCTAAACACAGAGTTGTGCAATATATAACCGTTGGAAACAAAAGACATCCGAGTTAAAACTTCCCTAAATAAATCGGCAACCTTTATACTTTATCATCCACCAGAAACTCCCACTTACATTCATCTATCTATTCTTGCCCCATTCGCTTCCTAAAAAGTAATATAGTAGTGTGAAATTCACAATAACAAGCTTAACCTAATGCTATTTAAGTTCGAGCCAGCAGTAAAATCCAAGGAACGAAACCTACTGCGATTTTTGTTTCTGCAGATACTCGTCACCTATGCAGAGGCCTAAAATGAGAAACTCTAAGAAAGTTAGGCAAGAGTTGGCAGTGGGTCCTGAGGATAGAGAAAACTTAAAGATCTCTGTTTGGCATTGTACCATCGAAAAATGTACAAGATTCGAGCACGCAATAACTAGTTGAAAGGAGCTATACATACATATCCCTACAGAAAGACAAGCAAAGGCCCAAACGAGAGAGAGAGAGAGGGGAGGGGGGGCGAATCAAGTACTAGAATATGTTTCGAAAAGAGTGGAATACCAAGTACTTGAGTAGCAGTTAATCGAAGCTTCGGATCCGGTTCCAACATTTGCCTGACTAAACTCTTAGCACCCTCTGAGACACTTGGCCAAGGATCCCGTTTAAAATCTATTAATCCACGTAGGATGGCCTGTGCAACACCTTGCTCAGACTCTGCATCACAAGTGCACTTTTAGCAACCAGACAGCACTTAAAATGGGTATTGAGAGAATTATAAATATAATCAATGAGAGGAAAGGAGTATGCAGAATCTTGAGAATAAATAATTGAAGGCACAAAAGTGCTTAGCGATTAAAAATCAAAAGCTAGAAAACACACTTGCCACCTGCCTGTGATATATTAAACCCAACATAAAAACAGATGGAAATCACTGAGGAATATTACCGGCCCAAAATGGGGGAACCCCACATAACAGAATATAGAGAATGACACCAGCACTCCATATGTCTATCTCTGGCCCATAATTCCTCTTGAGCACCTCCGGAGCCATGTAATAAGGACTCCCAACGATCTCCGAGAACTTCTCACCTGGAATATTAGGAATTAGGAACGTCTAGAACAAGTCTATTTCAAATAACTACAATCAATAAAAAGATGTCATGAAAATCTAGGCAAGTTCAAATTGAAGGGCTTTCTAAGTTGTCCACAGCTTGACAAGTTCAGCAATCATATTCTTTTAATTTAACCGCCATATTGTTGCATTCAAATCCAATTAAAAAGAAAGTGAGGGTACAGATTGGGGAGAGAGCGAAATTATTAGAGGGGACTTTTTGGTGAGATCAACTCTTTCAATGTTTGAACTGATGTTACTCAATTAGATGAAGGAAACGCCAACCCACTTCCGAGCCAAAAACTCCGGAGATTGAACTAAATTCGTTGGCTGAGGGCAGGTTCAGTTTTGAAGAACATAAATTCCTGCGTGACAAGATCTCTAGATGCAAGGGGAATGGGCAGTTTTGTGATCTTTATCATAGAAACTCAAAACAGATTTCTAGAATATCCATGACTTCATAAAAATAGGTCAATCTATCAGAAATTGCATTGCCTTGACTTTAGGATCTATAAACTGCATTTTGCAACAAACATTACAAAATGCAACCAAATCATAAAGTAAAAGACAGAATACCTTAGAATCCACCACAAGAAAAGTAAAACCAAATGAAACAAAATTACAGGACACAACTGCACCAGTACCACAGTATATCAGCATTGCATGATTGATAGCAGGCCAGATAAAGTAATGTCAAAACACCCTGATAGAAATGGGGGATGTACTAAATACACAACCAATGAAACGAATCGATTGTATTCATCTTGTTATGCTACATAAAACAAGTCACAAGGGACTGGGAGATGAAAAAGCTAGCAAAAGCAAGGAGAAGTTAGATGGAAGCCAGCTAGAGGAAGATGGGATTAGAGATTTATCTGGAGATACTATATGACAGTTGGGACTGCAGCTATGCTGATTATTTTTTGATAAGAGTGAATATGAGAACCAGCGCAAAAGAACCCCACTTCTATTTCAAGGAGCCAACCAGTAAGGTTTTGATAACACAGGGCGGCTTGCATTTATCTGAGGGCATTAGTCGAACTGCAAGATTTGGATACCCCGTTTTATCAAGGGAAAAAAAAAGCAAAATCACATGTCCAACACACAGAGTTCTCCAGTAACCTTTAAACTATATTACAATGATGCATCAATCCCGAAGACAGCAATTACCTGTCACAAGTAAATTTTTGAAGAAACTCAAATATGAAAAGGAGTAGCATATTTATATTCAGAAGAGACCTATGCCAAAGTCATGTTTTCTCTGACTAGATAAAAAACAGTCTAAAAGATGAGCAAAAGTACCTAATCCGTTAGCATAGGGAGAATTTCTCCATCAATATTCTCGATAAGCTCATGCTCAACTTTTAAAAAAGCAAATTTTTGATTTTCAGAATACTCTTTGACCCAGAAAACCAAATTGGATGATTCTATAGTAAAAATTTCACTGATAAGCAGATGCTCTCCTGATCAATTGCCCACTGCAAGGAAGTAAGACTAACAGATGCGACACAAGCGATACATTTATCTCGTTGAACTCAACCTAGTCAGGTTCCGACATCAAGTAGTTACGATTTGCAGCACAATTCTCCACAAACTTTCTGAGTCAAGTAACAGAAAAAATTGCAACTCTTTTATCATTTGAAAATAATTGACAACTACAAACATGACAAACCCATATAAATAACATCTATTGCAAAGTGCATACCAGCACACACTTGGGACAGGAAATAGAAATGTTAAACATCAACAAGGCAAAATAAAACTCGATGGTATACCCAACCATAGGTATCAAGCTGGGTACCTACCATATGCTGGAGAGTGAAATGAATATTCACAAACGAAGCTGCACTGGTATACACATGAAGCATTTTCTCAAGAGAGCATGGCTAAGGAACAGTACAGTTATTGCTCCGTGGACTCATAAAAATATCAAGGTTCTACAGTTCAGACATCCTACACCAGGCAAATAGGACACCAACATGAGATACTTCAAAGATGATTCGTAGCAGAGAGCTCTAGACAAAACTTAGCTTGGTACAGCTGAAGTATGACACTAAACTTAAGGTATTTTAAGAGTCATTATCTTATAAATAGCAATTCAATTAGAAAAGTTGAAGGATATGCTGGTATTTGAGTTTGATGAACAGCACAGCTCAAGTGAAGTAGACATTTCCTTTTCTTTTACTACTATGTTTGGATATGCGGAGGAAAGAAAAATTGGAGAGCAAAACATAAAAATTTGAATTTCACTCCTTTTCTACACACAAACTTTATAATTTTCTTTACATTCCACCCAACTTTCATCCCCCCACATTCTCTCATTTCTCAAATATAGCCTAAGTGAAATAGCACAGAGACGGGGAGACCTCCCACTCAGTCTGTAAGAAATCAGTGGAATGGGTAGAACGAACAGAGGAAAAATTTCAAGCCCCGCACCAATTAGATTTATTTCTTACCTCCACAAGTTTGATTGACATACAGAAATCAGATTTTTTTTCTTCTATTCAAAAAGGTTCGACGAACTTAATCCTATCAGAATGAGATCACGAGTGAAGTCAAGGTCACTATGATCTGACAAAAATGTTTCTTTTTGATGAAATCCTTTATTATATACCAAAACTAGAAAAAATTATCATCTATATTACTACAAACCAGAGTGACACTGATAGAAACTGCACTTCCTTTTCCCCCGGCCCAGCTGAAGAAGTTATAATTGAGTCTAACAGTTCAGATTGATCAGAGATACTCCGGCATTGAAAGTCCGGGCAAGAAGCCATTCTTTTTCTTCCTATTGCCATTTTCTTTCCTGAGCATGCTATTAGCAGGTCTCATATCTCAAGAAACCATATATTTGGAGACTGTTCTCTCCTTGAAAAACTCAACATCCACCAATTAGCAACAAGTTTGTTCATTCTATCCGTACGTAGATTCCTGATATGCAAAGCATGCACCAGAGCTGGGTCGAAAGGTGAAATTGTGAGATAAGACACTTTAGGTGCTTGGTACACGTACACCAAAATTTCGATCTTATTTCTTTTTTTTTTTTGGTAAGGACGATCTTATTTCTTTTGATCTCTGCTGCGTGACCAAAACCAATTAAAAGACATTGATCAAAGCCAGTTTGACTCCATATAAACAAAGCACCTAAAACAAATTAGTCAGTTCAACATAAGCAATATGATCATTATCTGTTGTTAAAGACTAATAAGTAGATATGCAATCAACCAGAAAGCTGCCACCAGATCCTAATAAAATGCTAGACATTGATCCGTGCATCCTCTATGCAAAACCACTCTAATCAGTTGACATGATAATCCGGTTATCGTGTCAATGTCATAGCTACTATCGCACTTAAGAATCTCCTTTTTTTAAGTACCAAGCACCTTGGGCTACCACAGAACCAATTAACAGCATGGTATTTTGAGGTCTAAGTCAACATCGTGACAATGTTGACATAAACCTAAATGGATCCACCTAGAAAGAATAGGTTTTAAAATGTCATCAAGAAAGGGTCCTCCAATTAGGAATGTATAGCCAAATAAGCGATACAATTTAGTAGGTTCATGGCTGGGTGGACTCCAGGATGAGCAATAAAGAGCATAGGGTAGGTTCAAAACTCCAAATAATATAGGCGTCATAGGTGTAGGGTATGTTGAGGTCATACTTACTCTTTACCCACTCTACACCCTTTAAAATACGATTACTAAACTTAAATGTGTGCATATGCATTTAATAACCATGATATATCTAAATGAACATCCAACATTATGCTATCTGAATTGCTACAGAAGTAGAATTAGAGATATGAATGTTATGAAGGTGGAATTGGACAAAAATCATATAAATTGTTTTTCATCTTGCTGTAGTTTTGCCTCTACTGTTGTCGTGTTTATTCTTTTGACTGAATTTGTTTTATTGGTTTTATGCTCCCGTCTCCTGTCAACAGAAAACACATACTCGATCCTGTGATTAACTTCTGTCTAAGAGGTTAATAGACAGCAGATGCATAGAAACTTTACTTATTGATAAAAAAAATCCAAAGGAAAAAAGATACCACCCTAGTTCTTGCGGATTTGATAAGTTCCAAAGTGGTTCCAAGAGGCCAATGATGGGTTTCTAGGTAAATGCCAATTCACCCTGAAATCTCCACACCAAGAACATATCAGAAGTTTCGTTCTTTTCATATCAAAGACATTCATTCCTATGAGATTCCTGTACAATACATCTTCGCTCTAACCTACTAAATCAAGAGCATATCTGTAGTTTTCCACCCCGTGTCAAAGACATGTGAAACTTCGGAATATAACATAGCAATTTGTCAGAAGATTTGCAATTAACATAAACACATCCAAAGAAGCACAATAGCGGATCATTTGCCAAGTGGTGACAGGGCTATCAGAGCAACAATTCGAGGAGCTTGATTTCCTAGAATGCGGGAAGAATCTTCTGAGTATAATTTTTTTTCATCCGATGTAATCAAGGAAGAAGCATTCTTCTGAACTGCCAAGTCTAGCTCGAAAATTGACAGAGGTGCTGTTTCTAGCGAAACACATACTACATTACTCGTGTAGATCTCCCAATGGCATATGAACAAAGTATGCTACTTTTCCCTACATCCGGGGTGCATTGAATAGCAAATTGAAGATCTTACCTGGCTTGAAGAATATGGACAATCCGAAATCAATGGCCTTCAGAGGCGAATTCTCCTTCTTATTAGCGAACAAGAAATTCTCCGGCTTCAAGTCCCTGTGTATCACCCCGTGCTTATGACAAAGCTGCACCACCTCCACGATCGTCCGGGTGACGGCAGCCGCGGCCCTCTCCGTGTAGTGCCCCCTGGCCACGATCCGATCGAACAGCTCGCCCCCCTCGCACAGCTCCATCACCAAATGCACCGCATTGTCGTCCTCGCACGCCTCCTTCAGGCTCACGATGCTCGCGTTCCGGGGCAGGTGCTTCATGATGGCCACCTCCCGCCGCACGTCCTCGATGTCCACGGCGGTCCGCAGCTTCCGCTTCGAGATGCTCTTGCAGGCGAGCAGCTCCCGGGAGCCCCGGTCGATGCAGAGGTAGGTCACCCCGAACTCCCCCCGCCCGAGCTCCCGGTCGATCAGGTACCTCTCCTCGATGTTCTCCCTGGGGACGCCGGCGAGGACGGTGACGGGGGCCGGCTTCCGCCCGGCGCTGGAGTCGCGCTTCCCGTGGTCGTGGCCCGTGAAGTTCGACTTCACGTCCTCCCGGGCGACGGCGGCCGGAGATCTGCAGCAGTTCCCCATCCCCGGCGGCAATGTGGCCCCAAGGTCAGATCCGAGCAGCCCCTTCCCCGGCGAAGAGGAGCCGCCGCCGCCGCCGCAGCCAACCGGAGCAAAGCGCAAGCTAGGGTTTCACATTCCACGAGGGAAGAAGAAGAAGAAGAAGCAGGCAGCTACGGGGGAAGCTATAGAGGAGATCGTTCGCTCGCGGAGCAACGGCTAGAGAGAGAAAGAAGGATGGTAGAGAGAGAGAGAGAGAGAGTGAGTGAGATGGAAGTGAGCGAAGTAAGGTGAGAGAGTACGGAAAAGTTGCAGGAGCTTCAGATGCCCTCCTCTCCCCTCTGGTGATAGAGATAGAGAGAGAGAGAGAGAGAGAGAGAGAGAGAGGGGAGTACTTCGCTACTTTGGGAAATAACAAAATGAAAACAGAATAAAAAATGAATAATTATAATTATTTTATTTTATTTTATTTTATTTGAATTCCGATATGTTTATTTTTTTTGTTTTTTTTTTTGAGGAAATATTCTCTGACCCTGCGACTTTTGTCGTCTCTCGCCGGGGGCGGAAGGGGCAGGCTCGTCTTTGCGCCCCGGGGCTCGCCGCAATTGGGGAAAAATCATTTTTCCTTTTCCCCCGAATGTAACGAATTATAAATAGATTCCGCGGAAAAAGGGGGACTTTTTTTTTTTAAAAAATGAATATTTATTGAGGGACCAAATTTTAAAAACAAAAAAAATAAAATAAGCTTCGATTCACGGTGCATTTGATAACTATTCTGTTCCCGAAAACAATTTCTACCCAGAAATGATTTTTTTTATTCCGTTCCCGAAATTAATTTCTAAGCATTTGAAGACGTTTGGTAACGGCCCAAAATTTCCATTCCTAGAATAGAAAAAGAACAGAAATGCATTTGATAACCACACAAATTTTTTTTTATTAATAATATTTTAATATTTCTTTCTTTTTTTTCCTTCTTCTCCTTCTTGGCCATGGCCGGCAACCGGCCACAAGCCAGGGCTGGCCCTCGCCGGCCACAGGCGAGGGTCACCCTCGTCGGCGAGGGCGGCGGCAAGGGCAGCCCTCGCCTAAGCCTCGAGGGTCCAGCCCTTGCTCTCGCTGGCGAGGGCCACGACGCCTTCAACGGCAAGGTCGCGACTCCCTTGCTAGCCCTGGCATGTGGCCAGTCGTCAGTCAGGAAAGAAGAAGAACAAAAAAGAAAAAAAATCTCTTCTATTTCTGATTCTTGTTCCTAGAATCAATAATCAATTCTTTTTTTTATTCTTGATTCTGTTCCAAAACTTATTTTGAGAACAAATTTGTGCCCAGGACCAAAAAATTTATCAAACGGATTTCTATTCTTTTTTTGTTCCTGGGAACAAAAGAATAGAATCAGTCACTATTTTGCAAGTTACTAAATACGCTCTTAATAACTGCAGCATTTTTTTCTAGGGTTTTTTTTTCAAAAATAAACTCATTTTACTTCGATATTAATTCTCTCGGAATTTCGTGGAATTAGATGCTTTTTTTTTTAATAAATAGTTACATCTTTTCTAATATGTAGGGATGCAAGAATGGGCCCACGGTGCTAATTTGATAAGGAGGGCGATGGACCCCCCTTGTCATACACATGATTGACCAAAAAAATCCGCGCAAAACTCTCAAGCAACAAAAAGAAAAAGTTACATGAAATTCAGCACAAAAAATCACAAGGTTCGGTCCAAGTCTCCCCGACCAATTTGCAAGATCTTATTATGATGGGTAGTCGGGAGCACAAGGAGCTCTGATTACGAGCGCAACAATCGAGCTATGCATTCAGGCTTTTTCTTATCCCGGGTGGACCGTTGCAATAACCGATAATGTCCGTTTAGTTCGGAATTTTTGGGCCAAATTCACGAGTTCCGATACTCCAAAAGATATCCATGCCGTTACTGGGTCTGGCCAAACTCACGAGTTTAATCTCCCGTCTGTTCTTTATCGTGAATATGATGACCTTAAATTCAACGTGATGGCACGTAAATTACATTCGATATTACAGGCCACGTGAGGTCTATCATCTATGGTCATTTCTTAATTTTTCTTGCGCTCCTAAAACTTACTCTTTTTGAGAGAGAGAGAGAGAGAGTGTGTGTGTGTGTGTGTGAGTGAAGAGGAAGGAAGGAGGAATTTGAGTATTTCAATAGGCGGGGGGGGCATGTGTTGGGACCAAATGAAGACAGAACAAAAGGAAAGGGTGGAGGTGGGGAGGGGATGTGTTAGTGACTAATTAGCCGACAAAACCAAAACACAAAGGAGGGACAGAATGATTGATCGTGATTAATCATCCGCTAATTGTCGCCCCCCCACTCAGCTTCCCTTGATTTCTTGAGCTTTGTCTCCACGCTTCTCCCCCAAGGGGAATCCCCGGGCCTGTTGCTCGTAACCTTTCCATTCACCTTTCTCTTCCCCCTATCCTTTTAGTACTATCTTAGGCAGATTTATATATAATCAGGTGGAAAAAAAACGATGGCATATAAATTAAATATATTGAATTTCGAGGCGTTTGAGATATCGTATTCTTAACGCTCTCGCTGCGCACGAATTGGATGGGCGGCCTCGATACGTTACTGTCGAGAAGATGTGCAGAAAAATAGGATGGAGGTTCTGATATCATGTGCCGAAACGAGCAACATCTTTGAACGGGAAGCATCGGTCAAGGGTTTCGGACTAGAGAAAAAATAAAATAAAAACAAAACCCTATGCGCAAAAAATAAGTAGCCTAATCCAAAAGAAAAAACCTCAACTCTAGATTTAGTTCCAATTCCGTTCTTGACTCATTTTTTGTTTTAAAAAAAAATACTCATAACTTTAGATCCAATCCATATCCGCCCCGAACTTTCGTTTGTCTAAAGAAAACCCCCCAACTTGATTCAGTCTCATATCTACCTTGAACTTTTGTTTGTTAAAAAAAAATATCGCCAATTTTAAATCTAGTCCCAATTCTACTTCTATTAGCACTCTGCCCAAAAATCGTCATTAGTCATTCCTAATTTCTTTAATTTTTATATCAAAGAACAGTTTCATTTGGGAGATAATTTTCCACCTCACATTGTTGATGTGAAAATGGCACGTCAACAACTAATGAAGATTTTCGGGCAAAGGGTTAATGGGGGGCATATATGAGATTAGATTCAAACTTGGTAACTTCTTTTAGACAAAAAAAGTTCGGGACATATTTGAGACTAGAGTTAAAGTTCATGTACTTTTTTTTTTAGACAAATAAAATTTTATGGCAGATTTGGGACTTGACCTAAAGTCTGGGGTTTATTCTAGACAGAAAAAAAAAAGTTTGGAACAGAATTAGGATTTGACCTAACATTCGATATTTTCTTAGGGGATCAGGCCAAAAAAAAATTGAGCGTTCTAATCGCGCTTACCCTGCGTGGTGCCCATAGGCTGAAAGAGTTGAAATCATTAATCAAATTATGTGATGTGCGTACTAAAAGGCCATTTTGATCAACATTTTCACCGACAGATTTTCTCCAACTTTCAAGCATGTGATGTGCTCTGCTCATCCTAGTTTTGACAGCCTCCTTCTACCCACTTTTATCATAATCCACCTATTTTTCACAAGTAGTGTTTTCTAAGAAAGTAGAAGCACGCAGGAGTATATGTCGGGACCAGATTAGTAAGAAGCTCCTCCATCTCTACTCATGCAGGCATGTCCATTCTTAGTCATGCTACTAATAAGTAGACAAATCACTGTGATTGACATGACCCAATTTGTTAATTTGGAACCCTAGATATAAAAAAAAAGGATGAAAATATATCGGATAACAAGAAGGTTACCTACTGTTTCTTACGATTGTCGACTCCTTAAATTTTTTACTAGCATCAACTCGGGTTACGCACGTGTTTGTGACATTACGAGAGCGTGATAAACTAAAATTATGTTCTATATATTTGGACAACACTTTATTCATCGCAGTTCAAATTGAAATTGTGAGTTCTGGCGTTGATCATCTCGATTGAAAAAGCCGACATTGGTCTTTAGATAATTAGTTGAAACAAATCAAAAACTCATATTTCCTCAGTACATAGACTAAAAGAGTAAAATATTTTTATTGTGGACCTCATTCTATAAAAACCCATAAATTCGATAATAAACTAATTATTTCTGTTCTCTTTTCCTAAAACACAGGTATAGACAACACAAAGAGTTCATTTGGATGGAAAGTCTGCATATACTTCAAACAATTGATGAAAATATTTGCAGCTCTAGCAATTGATTCTTATGCTTTTTTTGGTTAAGCGAACAACTGTACTTAATGCATTTCCCATTAATGACAAACATAGTGTAGCAAAGATAAAACCCATTATGTCAACATATCTTTTCTAAAAATAGAGAATTTTTAAAATGTTGCGAATGAATACTTTTTTCGGTCGTAGATCTCGCCCATACAACCTCCTATAGTTTTCGTCACCGAGATCTCGTACGCTGGAACCCATGATTATGGACCCGAATTCACTAGTATGAAACATTTTCTTTTCCAGATGAACTTTCCTAAAAGTTCCTCCTTGACTCTTGATCTTAGCCATCTCTTCACTACATAGTACATATGATAGTAGTATTACCTATCAATTTCCTTTCTCTGTTTTTGTTTTTCAAGGGAACTAAATCATAAGATATAGTGTTAAGTTCGAACCGCGCTTCGGTATAATGTGAAAAAAGAATTATTTCTTCAAAAATATTAAGCCGCCGAGAAACAATCTAAAAATGGGGTAGAAACGAGAAAGGGCCTACAATGGGTTAATGGTAATTCAATGATTAAATTACCAAAGAAAAGTCATCGAAAATTTAATCGGTCGACGCCCTAAAACAAAAAGAGAGAGTCAAAATCAAAACTTGAACGGTTGATTAAAAAGAAAGCTTACAAGCCAAAGAGCAACGCACGAACATTTGCCATGTGGGGCTCGTTACGCGCCTTCCTTCCATCTCTCAACCCCGTGAGTTTGCTTTGTACCTTTTTGAACTCGTTCCGATTTATCACGCCCGTAAATAAAAACAAAAAGAGCACACATGTAGAGATTGCGTCTTGAGCTATTCTCTCTTTTAAGAAGTGGTCAATGGTCACGGCTTTGGTCAACCAAACCAATGTAAGATTGTACTTAGATTTTGCATATCTAAACTGGTTAGGGGCTGTCCGATTGACAAGATTGAAGGTCACCTCCGTCACTTTGGACAAGTTTCGAAAGTACTTCTGTTATAATGGAGCCTAGGGGTGAGCATGATCCGGGTTGGGCCGATCCACCCTCTAATCCTAAAACCAACCCGCACAGTGTTGGTCCTCAATTTTGGAACCGAGGACCGCCCGTCGGTTCCATGGACCCGCCCGGGAACCGGACCGGACCGCCGGTCCGGTTCCCGGGCGGGTCCATGGAACCGGTCCCACCAAGTTTTCCTGGACAAATAAAAAAAAAATATGTGGACCAACATCGGATCAACGGAACAAAAAGAAAAGAACATAACTTTCCATACAATTCCTATACTATGATCGGTTCTATTAACCACATCATCCATAAATCAAGTGGGTACCCATCAAATGAGTGTCCAGAGATAAAAGAGCAGAGAGTTATGAGTGTCTAGTTACGTTTTTCTTTTTTTTAAATTTTTTTTTTGGTTAGATTTTTTTAATTAAAATTTTAAAAAATAAATATATTATTATTATATTACCGGCCCGGTCCGGGTGAGCGGGTGGGCGGTTCCACACCGGGAACCGGGAACCGGACCGATACCCACCGGTTCCAAAAAATTGGAATCGGGAATCGGACCGGTCCCCTTGGGAACCACCGGTTCCGGTCCGGTCCCGGGTGGTTCTGGGCGGTCCTGGGTTTTTTGCACACCCCTAATGGAGCCAGCGGCCCATAATTAACAAAATGGTTAATACCACGAAAATTTTCAAATTGGTATATATATGTGATAATTTTATCCCAAACTAATTTTTTTGATAATAAAAAATCCTAAACTGGTACACCCGTGATAAATTTACTCCGAACTATTTTTTTGACCACCAAAAACCCCACACTGGTACACTTGTGATAATTTTACCCCGAACTAATTTTTTTATCACCAAAAACCTCAAACTTGTATACCTGTGACAATTTTACCCCAAACTAATTTTTTGATCACCAAAAACCTCAAACTTGTACACTTGTGACAATTTTACCCAAAACTAATATTTTGACCACTAAAAATCCAAAACTGGTACATTTGTGACAAATTTACCCTCCGTTAGTGTCCGTTAAATTGGATTAATATCACGAAATATCACGAAAAATCACAAATTGATAAACTTACGACAAACAGTGAGGTAAAACCCCAAACTGGTACACCTGTCAACTGCCACGTGTCATCAAACTTAGCAATTTGACGGTAAAATTTAACGGAAACTAACGGAGGGTAAATTTGTCACGGGTGTATCAGTTTGAGGGTTTTTGGTGATCAAAAAATTAGTTCGGGTAAAATTATTACAAATGTACCAGTGTGGGGTTTTTGATGGTCAAAAAAATAATTCAATGTAAAATTGTCACAAGTGTATCAGTTTGGGGTTTACTAAGAACAAACCCTGCAGTTTTTCAATGCTGCAGAACAAGCACCACCTACAAATGTTCATTAAACCCCTTGCGTAGTAGCGACTGTGGCGTTTACCAAACAATCTGATTACCTTGAGTGATGCACTTACGATGCAGTAGGTGTCTTGATATCCTATATAACAGGACATTACCGAAGAGAGCCAAGCCTTGAATCAATCGACCTACTTTGTGCATCTTGTTTTAAGTGTTTTGTTTGTATGATTATGTTTTGTAACTAGAGCTAAGATGGGAATTTGGCGAGCGGCGCGACAAAATTGCCTATTTGTATTTATCAGAAAAGATTGTCATCTTGTTGAAGAACCACGTCATGAGTTCTCAATAAGAAACCTCCGTTGATATTCGCGGCAACATAGTCTTTGTGCATGCTAAATGCTATTGGTTCTATCATCAACCCAAAACAAAAAAGTCTCAGACAATAGGACATCGGTACTGTGGTCTGTACTGTAGTGCCAAATGATCATCAAGCAAAATGCCGCTTTTCATATCGAACGTCGGCATATGCTTAAGCAAAGGGACATAATAAGCAGAAAAAGTTCACATGTTTCCCTCATCTTCTCTTTCTCTCTGCTCTTTAATTGATTCCCTTTGAAAACTGGCTACCAGATTTCGCCTTCGGAAAATGCCTCTCATGATCCATTCACATTGCAAAATTGATTTGGTCTGATATGAGAATTTGCCACTTTGCAACACGAGATAAAAAATCAAGCGACGTCTTTATCTCTCGTTCTTGTTGATTTTGGTGACAAGCAATCGGCTAATGAATGGAATTAGTAGGAAACTTAATTACCTGCAGTCCCTTTTGGCATCAGGTTTTCCTAGAACAAGAGCTGGGGGTTGCAGAGTTGCATGTTCTGCTGCAAAAACCAGTGACGTCCTTGCAAGTAGTCTGCATTGCAACATCACGAGTTTTTCTGCTACCTGCGAATTGTGTTGCCCTTGTTATTTCCAAACAGATCGGAGTGTCCATCCCCTATCTCCGTGTTGAGCAAATTCACCATGCCCTCAACATACAAAGCTCCTGCTAAAAAAAAATGGACGAAAACCCGAATTCCTAAACGGAAAAATGCACCCAATTCCCCTTCGTTTTTAAGCAGCAAATCAGTCGATCAAGAGCAAAATTAGATATGGAGAAACAGGCCTAAGGGTTTCAAGAGAGCAGGTGAGGAGACGGTGCTACAGTACAGTGGGGAGAGGAGATGCGACATGGCCACAAAAAATTTCAAACTGGTACACCTATCAACTATCAGGTGTCATTAAACTTAACAATTTGATAGTAAAATTTAACGGAAACTAACGGAGGGTAAATTTGTTACAGGAGTACAAGTTTGGGGTTTTTGGTGGTAAAAAAATTAGTTCGGGGTAAAATTATCACAGGTGTACCAGTGTATGGTTTTTGATGATCAAAAAAATAGTTCGGGTAAAATTATCACAAGTGTACCGATTTGAAGTTTTTTATGATCAAAAAAATAATTCGGAATAAAATTATCACAGATGGACCGATTTATGATTTTTCGTTGTATTAACCCTACTTAATAAGTAGGAACTGACAGTTAAAATACTCAAAATCTGTCAGCGCTATCATGACAAGCGTCAATGGTCAATTAGTCGGTCGAAATCACCCTCTCACCAGAAAAGAAACAAAAGATGATCATCAAGAAACAGCCCAGAGTTTCAAGAAAGCTGATGAATTCTACCAGAATTTACGCTTCAGCTCTGCAGAAGCAGCTTGAAGCTCAAGCTTGACCATGACTCTACGACTCTGTCACTGTGAATTACATCAACTTTGCTCGATCTTGGTTGCTCTTGCGGTTTTCAGCTTTGGATGCAGAACATTACTCTGCGAGCTCCCCTGTTCACCTAAATCAATTATTACGTGCTAGATATCACAAATTTAATCGATTCCTTTCCAAGATGGTCGAAATTTTCGATGGAGCAATCGGCTGCGGTGAACAGGAAAGTCTAGTTTAGATGGTCGAACAAATAGAAGAAAAAATAAAATTAGTAAAATTCAAAACCAACATGTAACTAATATAGGATGGAGATTGTGATACAACGCGAAATGTGAGATGCTGCAGTGGCAAGTTCGACCGGAAATCAGCGCGACCTTGACATAAACCGACCTCTTGTTTTTACTAGGATTCAACACCTAATCAAGGAAACTTTGTTATTTCCAATGTACTGTCCTTTTTTCATCTTATGTGTAATCAGCGTATTGGGAATTAAAACATTTCTAAACCAGATATAATGATTAAAAAGTGCCTCGAGAGCACTCGTCAACAAAACCTTTGATATTAAAAATTTTGTCAAGTGAAGTGAGCATAAGTTTTAGTTATTTTAAAATGAGGAAAAGAAAGTATTTTTTGACATAAACACTGTAAAAACAACAGTCTTTTTCTGTCTATGTTGAAACTTCATCAAATTAGAATAAAAGGAAAAGTTCTTTTTTTCACGTGACGATACATTTTGTTCATGCTCTTAGTAAAAACAAAAGCAGGAAAAAGAAATCTCTAAAAGTCTCATCATACATTATTCTGCTAATTCTCTGCATAAATAGTGGAAAGAGTTTTCAAGTTCAAAGGCTAGCAAGTTGTAGGAGAGTCATGCATTACAAGATCGATAAGCCGAATTATTAGAATTCATGGTCCGTGATAAGCAAGACTTGTCACAAACTGGTGACTCGAGCCAATGAATCACATTCCATGGCCAGCCACATTGGATTGTATCCCTTTCTTGTGCATTAATCGACTGATACTTCGAGCTACAATGTGCATGCTGTTGTTTGCAACAGCATGAGAAGTGCCGAAATAGTGACTAAGTAGTCAAACAGAGACGATTTTGAGTGATGAGCTGTGAATTGTGATTCACATTGAGTTTTAACTAGTAGCTCTTTCCATTAATACTAGCAATTCAGATTACACAACCGGTGACCCTATTAATCGGACTGAACTAAGCTTTTATATCCACATCAATTCGAGAAAACACTGAGAAAGTTCCAAAGTAAGGAATGAAACACAAGCTACGAAGCAGGGTTAACGCTGAAATCATTGGCTGTGGTGCGAGTGATCAATTTCAGCCGGATTTCTCAAAGGACAAACCTTTGAGAGGTGCATACCTGGCGAGGATCTCAGCCATTCGCTTTTCAGCATTTTTCTTCTTCATTTCCCATACTGGGATTTCAGCACTGGCAGTCTGGATCTCTCGCATGACAGCTGATATAGAGTTCGCCATGATCTTCTGCTCAGCAACCACCTGCACTTTCGCCTCATTCGTCGACTTGAGGTCATGAGTAAGTTCAGCTTTCCTAGATTGAAGCTGCACAATTTGTTCGTCTATTTCTCGCACAAGAGATGACTTGGAATCTATCTGAGACTGCAATTCTCCTGCTCCCTTCTTCAGCTCACTGAACTCTCTCTTGATGGAAGAAACCTTGTCCTTCATGGCCTGAAGTTCTCCGAAAAAATTGGAAGCCTGGTCAGCAAGTCCCTTAGTGCGCTGAAAAACCTTGCCTGCTTTGGGGATTTCTTCGACCAACTTCAACTTAAGCAGTTGATCGACAGTCAAGATGGGATCGGCCATGAGCTTCTCTACCAAAAAAGTGATCTGCTCTAGGTACTCTGAGGACAGCATGCATGAGAAATCCAGGGCAAGAATGGAAGAAAGCTTCTTGCGGTGAGTAGACATTTCCTCTGCGATATCAGAACCTACACAAGTGGAAGGAGTCCGCACCTGAGCTTCATCATTGTGCTGAGAAAGAATATGTTCCACAGACTTTAGAAAGTCATCAACATCTTCTTCACAAAATTGAGCATAGGGTTCCTGGACATTTTGCACATCTTGTGCCTCAAAATCCTTGGATGCGTAGCAGCTAGAACCAATACTTTGGTCAGGAGCAACGTCCTCAAGATCAATCTGCGGCTCGGAGCCACATTTTGAATATCCACTTCCATCACTTGTACTATCATCCGTTAGGTAACACAAGTCAATTACAGACTCTTCACTTCTAGTGTTGTTTTGAGCTGGTATTTTTTTAGATTGTCGGGTACTGCGCCTGGGAAAGGCTTGTGACGTAGCTGGTCTTGCTTTTTTCATCATCTTGGAATTCCAGGGGGCTTCTTTATTCCTCTTAGATGCAACCAGTGGCACCTTTGATAAGAGATCTGGATGCAAATCTGCATATCAGAGTGATCCAAAAATAACTAGGACAACCAAGAAGTCGAGCGGTATCTTAAATTTTGCTTGTCTCGGACATGGCAACTGGTATACACTTCTCCGATAACAAAGTTATTAAACCAGAATACATAAATAAGCTCTATTACCTCTGAGAATATAGCAAATGGGTTTTCCATCAAAAGTGGCTAATGACCGAGTCCTTAAATTTTCTGAGCCTTAGTGATTTGTACTAGCAGTTACCTTGATTACAGATGGCATAGTTTAACAAAGAGGAAACTTTCATTTACTTGACTAAATTCCCTTTTCGGAAATAGCAGGTCCCTTGAAGTATTTTGAAACTCCACATATTTGGTGTTCTCAATGCAGATAGCAAAATGTATACATAAGATTGTAATAGGAGAGGATTAATCATTTCTGTGAGTAGCTTGCACTCTGTCATCTTATTGTCTTCTAAACCCCAAGCAGGACTCATCCTTCTCCTTTGTGATTAAATTTACTAAAACTTGGTCCAACATATCGGGCATTTCTGAACTTTTCATGCTCCCTTAGACTCGTCTAAATTTTCTATTTTCTGTAGCATCTTCTATCGCATAAAGATCAAACCTCCTAATCATTACCTTTGAATCAATGTCAAAGCCATAACTCACCAAAGAGATGAACAGCCAAGTGATCGCAAACTAGAGCTTAAACAAACATTATGACCATAAAAGACCTTCCACGTTCTGAAACATTGGACTTCCGAATTGAATGACAGGACAGTAACAAGATAACCAAAACAATGTAAGACTTTAATCCTCACCTTCGCTCCAGCGATGTTCCGTAGAGGGAATCATCCAGCTAAAAGAAGCAAAGAACTCATCAATATCTGCGTCCGGAAACTGCACAGAGATGTAGCGTTCGAGCGAAGACTTGCTATAGGTGCGTTTAACGCCATAGGCACGGAGACGCTTCGGAATACGTACGACCCTGTCCTTATAGAAACCAGACGAAGTGGTCCTCTTGCCGACCCACCACCGCCAAGTATCGCCAGGATTTGGCCAATCTGCGGGAGCATAAGGCAAACCTTTACCCGAACTATTAGGTTCGACAGGGTATGGGGTCAGGTTTTTCTTCTTCACTGCCTTCTCACCCGAAACTCCATTTCCCATGACTTGCTTCCCCTTCTCCATAGTGCTCGTGATTTAGCAGCTTAGTGTCCTGGTAGGAAAAAAAGCCATCACAGGACAACATAAAACTCAACCGCATAATGCTAAAATTCAAGAACTGATCACATAACCAGCTCCTGTCATCAGAAATTCCTTAATTCACTTTGTTAAAACAGGCTTTCGAAACGAAAGTGACAGCAACCCCATTCACCGGTTCAGGGGAAAGATTGAAACTTTAGCAAGATAATCACTAGTAAGAGCCTGAGCACGTGTTTCAACGGAGAAAAATTCTAACACACCAAGATAAAGTCGAAAATAAACGAACAAGGCCAGTAAAAATGAGACCTTTTTGCAAAGACTCAAAAGATGACGAGGAGATGGCAAAGCCGTGAAAGAACAAGAAGATCATGAAGCCACAAGCAACGCGTACGCAGCTAAAGTTTTACCCAGAAAAAAGCTTGTAACGAAGGCCCTTACCTCGCAACTTCGAGGTTGAAAATGGCTGAGAGTTTTTCCGGGTCTGTGTTCTAAGGCTTTTTGTCTTCGTTTCTTGTTCTTCTGAGCTTTTTCAGAGAGGAGATTGCTTAGTACTGCGAACCTCAATGGGAGTTTTACCCCTGCATGTGCATGGTCAGTGCCTTTTTTTCCATTTTTAGTGCTACGACGGATGTGGATCGCTGTGAAGTCCGAGCAGAGCCAAGAAAGGTATTTTTTTTTACATTAATGCAGTTTTCTCTGTGAAACACCCACCAAGCATCAATGCAAATTTCCTTTTTTTTTTTTTGTTCGAATGCAAATGTCCTTGACAAGTCAATGTTGTAGTGGCGTGTTGTATTTGTTATGCAGATTGTTTTTGATATCTTCTAATGGGAAATCACAGGGGGAGAGAGAGAGATTTAGTTTGAATCTTTGTCAACATACCTTTGGTAATTTACTCGAAGCTTTTGTGCCTGTGTGTATAGGTGATCATATGGTGTAGCTGTGATTCAGAATGGCATTTGGTGAGTGACTTTTGTGTTGACCTTGAAAATTTCAGTCATTAAGTAATGTGACGAAATACAAATTAAGTATTCAAATAACAGAAATTGTTCCGGTTCAAGAACTTTTTAGCCGTTTCTAATAAAAGTCTTTGCCCATATTTATTGATATTTCCTCAGGCGTTCATTATTAAAGATGAAAAGTATCAATGAAAAAAGTTCCAATCCTCCTCTATTAACTTTTCATTTTTGAATGGGAAAGTTCACCTTCTGAAAGTACTTCGTGTTTGTCTTTGCATAGAGATGCTAGTTTTTACTCAGGAAATAGGACATGTAATTAGGTGATTCGCTTCATCTTGCTCCAGAAAATACAGATTTTTATCAAATATCAACCTATGGCTATCCACAAATTGATTTAAAGGGACAGAAACATTTTTCGTACATATCGAGCTGTTGAATGGTGTTAGTTGGAAATTTATTCGCTTCATCTTGACTAGGTTTTTCTAGAACATAGTTGGGGTTGCAGAAAAGAAACTATTTTTCACAGATTAGCGATAGTGTTTGCATTTGATTAACATAGATTCCCACCGGCAAAAGAAAACAGAAAGAGTCAGCTAACAACATTACTCAACATTGGCTGATCATTTCCCTGATAGTAGGTTGAGAGAATGAAAACTGTTTAATGAACCTCACCATTGTTCCCGCGATTCTCCAAGGGAAACTTCCAGCTGAATGAAGCGAAGAATGCTTCAAAATCTACATATTGAAATCGCGAACAGATATAAATTTTAAGCGAAGGATGCCTCTGATCACAGATATAGTTAAGGGTTAATACCACCAAAAACCTTAAACTGGTACATATGTGGCAATTTTACCCCGAACTTTTTTTTTTACCATCAAAAACCCCAAACTGGTACACATGTGACAATTTTACCCCGAACATACCCCAAAAAACCCCAAACTGGTACACTTGTGACAATTTTACCCTGAACATACCACAAAAAACCCCAAACTGGTACACATGTGACAATTTTACCATGAACTAAAATTTTAATATTTTTTTTTTATTTTTTCGAATTTTTATTAATTTTTTTGTTTTTTCTTTTGTTTTTTTTTCTTCATCTTCAACCTCTGGCTGGTCGCCGGACCGGCCAGAGGCGGAAGCCGGCGAGGTCGGCCCCGCCGGTTGCTGGCGAGGGCCGCCCTCGCCGGCGTCGGGCGAGGGCGACCCTTGCCTGAGTCGAGCGAGGGCTACCCTCGCCGGATCTAGCGAGGGCGACCCTCGCCTACGTCGGGCGAGGGCTGCCCTCGCCTGGGTGGGCGAGGCCAGCCCTTGCCTGGGTGGGCGAGGGCAACCCTTGCTCGAGTCGGCGAGGGCGGCTCGCCCGGGACGCCGGCGAGGGCGGCCCTCGCCCGACGCCGGCGAGGGCGGCCTCGCCTCGACGCCGGCGAGGTCGAGCCTCACCACGGCCGGGAGGGAGGGCCAACGCCGGCGAGGGTCGGCCCTCGCCCGACGCTGGCGAGGGTTGCCCTCGCTCGCGCCTGCGAGGTCGAGCCTCACCAGCGGCCGGAGGGGCCAACCTCGCCGGCTTCCGCCTTTGGCCGGTCGCCGGTCCGGCGACCGGCCAGGGGTTGAAGATGAAGAAAAAAAAATGAAAAGAAAAAATAAAAAAATTCGAAAAAATAAAAAATAAAAATAAAAAATTATTAGTTCGGGGTAAAATTGTCACAGGTGTACCAGTTTGAGGTTTTTCGTGATAAAAAAAATAGTTTAGGGTAAATTTGTCACGGGTTTACCAGTTTGGAGTAAAATTGTTACAGGTGTACTAATTTGGGGTTTTTTGTGGTAAAAAAAAAGTTTGGGGTAATATTGTCACAGGTGTACCAGTTTGAGGTTTTTGGTGGTCAAAAAAAAGTTCGGGCTAAAATTGTCATACATGTATCAGTTTAGGATTTTTGGTGGTATTAACCCTATAGTTAAAGGACCCCGTTGATGCTTCGGAAGATGCATGTACCAATCTTATTGGAAACCAGACTTGTCGATTTGCCTTTCGTCCTGCCATGCCCAAGTATCGCCTGGATTTGGGCCTATCTAAGGGTGGATAAGGAAGCCTTCACCTCTAGTGCTAGGTAGAACCAGATATATATGCATAAATCGTTCTTCTTTGTTACACGACTCTCTTTGACAATGCGCAACGACCTTGCAAAAACCATCATTTCGTACTCATATCCCCAAACATGATGCTGTGAAAAAATCTAGAACACTACATAATTAGACACATATCTGCTATGGATAATTAGTCCTAAACAAACTTGAAAAGTTGATTTCACACACATATTGTGCCTCTATATCCTTGAAGCTGCCAAATAAATCCAAAATGACAAAAGAAATCAAACTCAATGTTCAGGGGTAAGACAATGGAGAAATAGAAAGAACATTTATTTAAAGAAGAAAACAAAAGGGTCAAAGAGAGAATTAATATGATCCCTGGCTTCCTTTCATTGGAACTTTGTTCTTATTTTGCTTTCGTTTCATATAGGATGATTTGGTGCTGTGAACCCAGATGACAATATTGCCCCTGCATGTACATGGTCAATATCGCTTTTCAGTTTTGGGGCCACAAAAGTACGAATTGGTTCTCTACTCTCTGCAGGCAGAACAAACCCTGCAGTTTTTCAATGCTGCAGAACAAGCACCACCTACAAATGTTCATTAAACCCCTTGCGTAGTAGTGACTCTGGCGTTTACCAAACAATCTGATTACCTTGAGTGGTTCACTTACTATGCAGTAGGTGTTTTGATATCCTATATAACAGGACATTACCGAAGAGAGCCAAGCCTTGAATCAATCGACCTACTTTGTGCATCTTGTTTTAAGTGTTTTGTTTGTATGATTATGTTTTGTAGCTATAGCTACGATGGCAATTTGGTGAGCGACGTGACAACATTGCCTATTTGTATTTACCAGAAAAGATTGTGATCTTGTTGAAGAACCACGTCATGAGTTCTCAATAAGAAACCTCCGTTGATATCCGTGGCAGCATGGTCTTTGTGCACGCTAAATGCTATTGGTTCTATCACCAGCCCAAAGCAAAAAAGTCTCAGACAATAGGACATCGGTACTGTGGTTTGTACTGCAGTGCCAAATGATCATCAAGCGAACATCGACATATGCTTAAGCAAAGGGACATAATAAGCAGCAAAAGTTCACATGTTTCCCTCATCTTCTCTTTCTCTCTACTCTTTAATTGATTCCCTTTGAAAACTTGCTACCAGATTTCGCCTTTGGAAAATGCCTCTCATGATCCATTCACATTGCAAGATTGATTTGGTTTGATATGAGAATTTGCCACTTTGCAACACAAGATAAAAAATCAAGCGACGTCTTTACTCGTTCTCGTTGATTTTGGTGACAAGCAATCGGCTAATGAATGGAATTAGTAGGAAACTTAATTACCTGCAGTCCCTTTTGGCATCAAGTTTTCCTAGAACAAGAGCTGGGGGTTGTAGAGTTGCATGTTCTGCTGCAAAAACCAGTGATGTCCTTGCAAGTAGTCTGCATTACAACATCACGAGTTTTTCTGCTGCCTGCGAATTGTGCTGCCCTCGTTATTTCCAAACAGATCGGAGTGTCCATCCTCTATCTCCGTGTTGAGCAAACTCACCACGCCATCAACATACAAAGCTCCTACCAAAAAACAATTGGACGAAAACCCGAATTCCTAAACGGAAAACTGCACCCAATTCCCCTTCATTTTTAAGCAGCAAATCAGTCGATCAAAAGTAAAATTAGATATGGAGAAACAGGCCTGAGGGTTTCAAGAAAGCTGATGAGATTCTACATGAATTTTACCTTCTTTTTCGTCTCAAAAACGCAACGGTTTCCTCCTTCTTCGGGAGCAGAGCAGGTGAGGAGACGGTACTGCAGTACAGTGGGGAGATGAGATGCGAAATGGCCACGAAAAATCCCAAACTGGTACACCTGTCAATCATCACGTGTCATCAAATTTAGTAATTTAACTGTAAAATTTAACGAAAACTAACGGAGTGTAAATTTTTTCACAGGTATACCGGTTTGGGGTTTTTGGTAGTCAAAAAATTAGTTCGGAGTAAAATTGTCAAAGGTGTATTAGTGTGAGATTTTTTATGGTAAAAAAAATAGTTCGGGGTAAAATTGTCACAAGTGTACCAATTTTGGATTTTTTGTGGTAAAAAAATAGTTCGGGGTAAAATTGTCACAGGTGTACCAGTTTGGGATTTTTCGTGGTATTAACCCTTTAAAAAAATGAAAATTGGATTGGGTAAGCTCGGCCGATTAGGCTCTTCTTCTTGGAAGCCCCTATCCATCTGGGCCCGCTCAAGCCCAACACTTTTATTGTACAATTGATATATCTCGAAATTTCACAATATTTCCCACCACATTTTACGTTACGTATAACTAGATATTTATACTTAGATAGAGATTTCGAAATGTTTTCTCTTGAATTTGTGCGTTTCGTAGCAGAATTCACGTATTTTCTCTCGGAAATGAAAGGGCTTTTTATCATATGGATTTATAGTGTAAAACTCGCTTTTACTAATAGAAGTATATAGACTTGATTTGGGGCTTGAGC